AAACTTTGTACATGGATGCTGTAGGACAATAGACAATTGTGGGTTAAAATCTGTACATATTAATTACTAATTTACATAATTAACCACTTTTAAGCTATCACACTGATATCTAAAGTACTAATTATTCCATTTCAATGAAACTCAGTGCAAAGATGCTATAGGACAAACCTGATTAGTTTGGAGTTAAAATCTGTTTATATTAATTCCCTAATTAGCATAATAATTTATAAATTTTTTTGGTTCCAATCACATTGCAATAAAACTTGGTACATAGATGGTCTGTTACATTGTGCAGACCTCATTAGTTTTCCATTAAAATCTGTTCATATTAATTTTCTGATTTGCATTATTAGTTTTCGGCTTTTCCATCACTATCACTATCTATGACAAGTAATTTTGAATTATATTTAATGTGTCTCCAATACTCTCAGCACATGGGAGTTCTTTCTAAGCTTTCTTTGATTTTTCAGATGTGGCTAAATCGTTTTAGTTGGTAGAAACACATAATTGTATTCATATACATGTCAATTTGTTTTGTTGTTGTTTATCTTTGACGACTGGTGGCCATTTTTTGTCAACATTTCAACACGTCATCAACCGCTTCTCTGATATGCTTAGGCTGATTTCATTCAAACGTAGTATTGACATCACACCCGTTGAGATGTTGATGTATGTCATGTTTCGCAATTTGATTCAAGACAACAAACTGGTGTCCTAGCCATTTCTCAAGTACATTTTTACAAATTTTATTTAAACTTTAATACAATAATGATATACATAGTAGTTGTCCTAACCGCTTTAGGGTCTGTTATTGGACCATTTATTTCAGGCTTGTTTAGCGTACAACATACTCATATGAGTACAGATGGTTCCAACAGCTTATTGTAAATAAATATCTTTTACCTGGTACCATTTTATATGTTGTGTCACAAGTTGCCTTTTAAATATAAATATCACGTTGACCTCTGTGTGCGATATGCACATTGGGAGTCTTTGTGGTTACCTGTCTGTCTGTCTGTCAGTCTGTTGCACTGATTTATCAAAAGCCAATTATAGGATTGAAATAAAATTTGGTACATAGTTTCTTTAAATTATTCACAAACCTGAGTAGCTCCAAGGTCAAATTCTTGAATGTATGCATTGTAAGTGACCAATTTTAATAGAAAAAAAAGACACCACTATATTCACTGTTACATGTAATTGCTGTGTAGGTGTTCTGGAATACTGCACAGACCTGATTAATTTTTGTTCAAAATTTGCATAAGTTAGCTAATTTTAGTTTTTGAATAGATCAACATTGAGTAGATTTAAATGAAACTGGAACAGTTGCTCCAAGATTATCCACCGCATCCACTTTGACACTGCATATCAAAATGCAGCCAATGGACATCTTGTTTAACAGTTTAATATTTAATTCTTACATATTTTTTCATGCATTCAATCGTTGTTTTTTATCACACAGGATGATCATTGTCTATGATTATTGATAGAGTGAAACAAACGAAGAAAAACAAGTGATTTATTGTAACATACTATAGAGAGCGACATACAGAGTATGCATTCTTCTCGTAGTTGCGGCGAAATTTGAAAAAAAAAATTACCCTGAACGAAAGCTTTCATAAAATACATTACGAAAAGCAATGACTTTTTGAACAATGACTGATCCTACATTGGTAGCCATTTTGAATTGAAAATTAGTCAAAATGCATACAATTAATTTACTGGATATAATTGATATTACATATGGTGGCATACATATGGAGATACATACACATTTTATATGGGAAAATATTCACTTATGATATGGCGACACGGGAATGCATACTTATTTTATTGAGGGCCAGATACGTTAGGAACACGGACAGTTCTTATGACGACAATCACCATCACGCAGGAACACGTACAATTTTTGTCTACAGCTAACTCGTCGACGAAGGTAAGACACGTCTATCACCACCAGAAAAAGGCGCACATATTTAGCAGTATATTGTTGCTGGATTATTTTGATAATATTTAAGGAGTAACCTCTGGGAACTAAAAATTTCTTTTCAATTATTACAACTGTCACCGCTGAGACCGTTAGAACTCATCAAACAGATTAAAACGACCTTCAATTCATCTCAGTAACTACCTGTCCCACGTGACCTATGTAGTTATGGAATGAAACGTCATAGACAACAATGTTTACGTCACAGTACCATAATTTTATTTGTAATTTATGACGGATCAGGGTACAGAATGAATTGCTGTATATATAACATATCAAGTGCAATACTCTGACCATTTCTTTATCAGTGTCTTCATTACAGTAAATGCAGATGATACAAAGACAAATAAATATACAAAATGTAAAAATTAAAATGAGTAAGGCTAAAAAATGTTTCTTGTCATTCTGAAATTTTCATTAAATTCATGATGTTTCATGAAAACAAATGAAAAAAAAACGCCCACGTTTTATACTGACGCGCTACTATTGTGAAATTCTCAGTCCACCAACAGCCACAGTCGCCGCTTACTTTA